AACACTTTTGATTCCTGGTCCTACAACCCATACCAAAATGGCATTTAAACTTATTATCCTGATGTGTTGCAGTTATAACTGTCAGGTATTCTTTCATTGAATGAGTGTCCTGTCCTCTGCCAATATGACTTTGTATGGTCAATTTTTACCCTTGTTCTTCAAATTAAACTTCTTTTTCTAGACTCATACCTGGTATCCTTATACCCCATATCACTTAGCAAACTACTTGTCATATACTTTTATGACAAAAATCAATAGCCCTGGTTTGTATTTTCATAAATAATATTTTATATTTGTGTGGTTAAAAACCCATAGTTGTAGTTATACACATTTATAGCATATAATATAGTTCTTCACAAATATTTTTTTCTGCTGAGTTCATTATGGGAGTATTAATGAAATGTTGCTGACATAATACATTCTTAAAGAACTACCTAAAGTGAATTTGCTAAATGGGATCTTTCTAGTACCAATAATAATAACTCCAATTAAAAAAATCCTGGATGTGAGCCAATAATGCCCAGCTTCATGTGGAATACTGTATCTTATGGGTCATGTTTTAGAGAAACTACAGCAGAGGGTTTGAACTAATTGGGCCATTGATGAAAACATGGAAATTTGCTAGAAAGGGTTTTCTAAGCCATAAAATTATTATAAGTCATGGAACCTTGATGACAATACATGGTAGTTGATGCTGACTTTCAAAAAAGTCTTTACAAAAAATTTCCATTCATATCTCAGGATATGAATGGAAACCACCTAAGTCTTAGTTATTTGATCTGATTTTAAAATATTTCTTGTACCATTTAACTTCTTTTTCTCCTTCCATTCAATATATACACATTAATTTGTTGTGAGGATAGAAACATCTGCCTTGAAGAACTTGTATAATATGGGAAGATAAACATGATTGCATTATAGCCTTAAAAATGCTATACTCATTGCACATGTGGCCTTTATGGGTGAAAAGGTATATATTTTTAAAAATAAAGGAATATCATGTTTATAAAAGAGATCAATAAAATGAGAAGATGTTTCACTCTCAGGCATTCCTCACATTCCTCATTCCTGTCTATTTTAGTTACCCACTAGTTTAAGCCATAGTCCCCGCAATATGTTAGTTTGGGGTAATATTGCTTGATGAACATCTGACCCTGTCAAAGGGCAGAATTTAGTGACCGATTGAAGCTGCTCATGAGTATTTTTTAGGGAAGGACATTTTTTAGCAACTCCCATGAGAAAAAGCTTTGATTTTCTTTACTAACTGATGTCAGTAAGATGCAGCACGGCCATAGCAGCAACAAGGGATTATCATTAAATGCCTTCTAGAATGTATTTTTAAGTAATCACTTATATGGGAATTTTAATTTCACCTTTTTGGTGAATGATAACTTGGACCAACTAAGACTAAAAGTCCTAATTTGGAAGATGGAGCCCAATACTTTCTTTAAAGGGACTGTTTCCTATAATGAAGGATTTCTGAAAGAGTACTCCATATTCATTTAGTGTCTACTTGATGATCTTATTTGAACAAATATACATATCATTTCAAGATTTTTATTTGCCTTCTGTGGAGGATGTAGGAGTAAATGGAACAAAGAAAATGTATCAGAGAAATAAAACTTATTTGTGTCTTTTATTATGATTCTAATTAGTCTAATTTTGAGTCTTGTGATAATTTTCCCCAATACATGAGCTGTTCTAAGCTGCTTTTATACAGCATGTTGTATAAATAAAAACAATGTTAAAACAAAGGTTTTTGGAGAGATGCTAAAGACTATGAATTTCTCAATGTTTTTCTTGTTTATGAATATTTTGAAAATTTTATTATTTTCATCATAATCACTATACCTCACTTCAAATTATTTATGTAATTGCCTCAGCATTAAATCAAAGCACTGAGTGGAAGGTAGTTGAAAAATGGAGATGGCTAAAAATAAATCAAAGAATAATAGATTAGTCAGATTAGTGTAAAACCAGTAATTTAGGCCCCTTGGCACGTTTCAGAAAGCACCCTTTAAACATTACTAATTGCAAAATAACTGGATTGCCCACCTGCCATCATCACAGAGGCTTCTTGTTGCTTTCAATTCTGGAAAAGGAAAAAAGTTGCAGCTGGTCCACCACTGAGTTTGGCTGGGACTCAAGCAGGCCTACTCTGCTTTGCCCTTTTGCAATTTGTCCATGAAGACAGAAATATGCAAAAATCTACCCTCAGCCAGGCACCATGGCACATGCTTGTTATCCCAGCAGTTCCAGAGGAGGACCATGAATTCAAGGCAACAGCAAGGCACTAAGCAACTCAGTGAGACCCTCTCTATAAATTAAATGCAAAATAGGGCTGGGGACATGGCCTAATGGCCAAGTTCCCCTGAGTTCATTCTCTGGTAAATGTTCCCCCGACACACACACAAAAAGAAAAACAACCGTCTGTGTCTGAAGGTCACATTTGCAGCAAGGCACCTATGTCATGGTGGAGCACACACAGTTGCAGGAATCAGAAGATACATGTTCAAGGCAACACTCAGACACCTATTTGCTACGACTGGATTTTAATTTCATCAGCTATGAGAAGAACATGATATTTACCTTTACACAGTTTTTGTAAGGAGCACTGAGCTAATATATATGAACTGAACTGACTTTTCCAAATTAAACTGTTATACCATGTAGTTATTTATAAATAAATCATCTCTCTTCCAGTCATGGGAACCTGTGCAACTGAATGCCCAGTGCCCATTGCTCCTTGTTCATTTGATGTCTACTTCTTCTGATGAAGTTCTAGTTCCTAGGTCTAGTTGATTTTTAGACCAGTTACCTATTTTTAAATTCTATAGCTTGACTGACTTGTAATATGCTCCTGCATACTTCAAATCAAACTCCCTTGCCCAACTAATCTTTCAAAAATGCAGAAAATGAGCCTAATGTGATTTATAAAGCTTTAAACATGCTCAAAATGTATCTAAAATTGAAAGCATATTCATGTAGGAAAGAGAAAGCAGATACCATTTGAACTTTTGAGACTTCTGAGAGCCTCAGAAGAGTGGAGGGAGCAGAACCTGTACTCTCAGCTCTCCGGGTGAAGTTCAGCCTTCATTTGCTGCTCATGCATATAAAATACAGGGTCAATGTAGACCTAACTTATCAGCTTTATCTATGGAATGAGGGTTGAATTACTTACCTCAAAATATTATTGCAGGAGTCAAATGGGATCACATCTATAAAGGTCCTGATGTGCTTTCTGTAGAGTTGATTGTAAATATTAATTTCTGTTTTTCATTAAATTTAAAAGAGAGCCATTATTCATTAACGCCTGGATTTTGGAAAGGACTTTGAATGTATTTACCACCAACTTGGCTATGGTTACATAGCATAAAACTGAAAATGTTTTTCATGAGCTTATACAATTATTTATGATAAAACTTAATCTAAATAAACCATCTGGGATTTTTAGTTAAGAGAAAACTATAAATTCTAATGGCTATTAACATAATTTAGTAGATGTAATATTTTATACAATGTAATACTCTATAAAAATATTTGTATGACAACATTTATACAATATAAAGTATAAGTATTACATGTATACACTGTGTCTTTTAACACAAAAATATTAATGAATGTGTGTTTCCATAACAGAATAACTGATGCTAGATAATGTATAAAGGAAAAAGGCTTATTTAGTTCATGATAATGGTGACTAGAAAGTCCATACATCATATTTCTGGGTCCAGTTATAATACAACGTGATGGGGAAACAAAAAGGGAATGCACTATAACAGGAAAAGCATGTATGTCAGCAAGGTAGCAAGAGACTGGGTAAGAGCCTTTCATAACAACCAGTGAGAAAAATCTACTCCTACCAGACATTACTATTTCCAGAAGACAGGATTAATGAACTCAAGAGTGTATACCTCCCCACCAACCTTATTACCAAGCCCCTCCTCTTAAAGGTTCTACCACCTCCACATTGTCACTCTGGGACCAAACTTCTAGCATATGAATCTTTGGGTTATAAAGCATATCCAAACAAAAGCAGTGGGGTAAAATTATCATAAAGAGAAAAGCAATGAGAAGTTCAATACAATGGAGACAAAAATGTAGCGATAAACCATACATGATCTTGCAGTTGAATACAAGAATGAATCTATGGGAAATCAAATCAGTATGTTGATGAGACATCTGCTCACCTATGTTGATCATACTACTATTCACAATAACTAAGAATTGGAAAGAACACAAGTGTCCATAAACTGATGAATAAGGAAAATGCAGTATATAAAGATATATTGCATATATTCCATTATTTATAGATATATATAGATATAGATATAGATATAGATATAGATCATGCATGAAATGTATGTAATGTTTGGAAAAGACCAAACAATGCATGATAAGTTACAATTAGGAGTAAAAAGTTGTTTTCTACTATTATACAGCAGAGTCACCAAGGAAAGCAATAATGATTATACAGTTCAAAAGCTAGAAGAATTTTTTAAAATTTTTTCATAAATAAATCATAAAAATTTGAGGAGGTAGATATGTTTAACCTGATCTAAGCATTAAGCAATGTATGGATGTATCAAAGCATTACATGTTACCCATGTTACCCATTAGTATGCATAATATTGCTTTTTATCTATTTGCTAAGTAAATTCAATTTAAAAATGGCAAACAAATTAATAATACTTGATTATTATTTTTAAAATGAACTATTTTGAATCAAAAGGGAAGCTTAATTGCTTGTACTTTTATAATATTCTTTGTCTCAGTAAAAATATAAAAGATCAATGAATGTATTTGTAATGTAATTTGATTTTTAACTTGTCTAACACAAATAAGTCAGTTAAAGAATAAAACCTCAAATTCAGATTCTCAAGTTCCAAGTCCAACATCAAGAGACCTGCACACTCTTAACTCTTTTGCATCCTAAATGTATCCAATTAATGTGATTCTCTCATTTCATTTTCCCTTTGCTTATCTATGTTTTCACCCAGGCAACTATGGTGAAAGTGGAATGGAGGCTTTCAAAGATATGTCAGCCAAGGAAGGGATTTGCATTGCCCACTCTTACAAAATCTACAGCAACGCAGGGGAGCAGAGCTTCGACAAGTTGCTGAAAAAGCTCAGAAGTCACTTGCCCAAGGCACGGGTGGTGGCCTGCTTCTGTGAGGGCATGACAGTGAGAGGTCTGCTGATGGCTATGAGACGCCTGGGTCTTGCAGGAGAATTTCTGCTTCTGGGCAGGTGAGTAACAATGAGAAAATCCACATACAGTTAGTGCCATGGCTTTGGCAGCATTCAAAGGTATCTTTTGATGCATGAGGACAGATGCTTTAGAATTTTAAGCTGTTCAGTGGAAGTAGAGCTTAAATATCATAAAGTACCAGTACTGAAGAAAATCATGGTAAATAAATAGATAGGCCTTGTACAGATTAATAAAGATAAGAGGAATGAACACAGAGAGATGAGTTGTTACCTCCTCAAAAATATAACTAAATGAGATGGAGTCTTAAGTGCCTGGGTTAATATCTTGAGAAATAAACACATATCAAACTTGTTTCTGTTCCTTTTGAGGTTGATTGTGAGGACTATATAGGTTTAATATATAAAATAGAATAATAGGATTTGGGGTTAAAAATAAGAAATTATTTAGAACTAATTTTTAAAACATTGGTAAATTAGCTCAAAATTTCCATATTCCAAACATGTTTTTACCTTTTTAGATTGCCTTGTCTGCATTGTTACTAGGACAGTGTTCTAAAACATTAACTTTTACAAGGATTGATATTAATATCCAGAAAGTTTACTTGATTGGCACAGGTCAGACCCTTACCTGCTAATATTGCTGAATCAGTGTATTAATCAAGTTCTCCAGAGAAACAATCAAAAGTGAATGTATACACACTTTATAATATACGTATAAGGGTTTTTTTGTAAGGAATTAGGTCATGTGTTTAAGGAGGCTGTGAGTTCATAAGAACTGCAATTGGCAATCTAGAAATCTGGGAAAGTTGACATGTAGTTCAAGTCTGAGTACAGGTTGAGGACTCCAAGAGCTGGCAGTGTTAAGTTCCAGTCTGAAAGCCACCAACCTCCAGACTCCAGAAGAACCAAAGTTTGACCCCAAATCCAAAGCCTGGGAAGGACCAATGTCCCAGCTGATGCAGTTACACAAAAACGGTTTCCTCTTACCCAACCCCTTCCTTCTGTTGAGGTTTCCAGTTGCTCAGATGAAGCACATCCACATGAAAAAGTATATTCTCAATCTACTGATTCAAATGGTTTTAACCAAAACACTTTCACAAACACAGGGATGATAATATTTGGCCAAATATCTGAGCACCTGTGGCCCAATTGCTGCACAAAACTAACTGTTATAATACTTAAGTGGAATCTATAGTCTGAATGTGTGAATGAAACATTCACCCTTGAGATGCAACATCATGGTTTGTCAACAATGTGTAAGTTTCTAGGATTCCACACTGTTTTAAGAGGTTACCACGTATCATATCATGTATTAAGAAGCAGCCACTTTAATGAATAGCAAAAGCCTTAGAAACCACTGCCTTTCTTAATATTTCTGTCCACAGTAAAAGCACATCTTATTTGCTGTTGACTTTTGATGTCTTGTTAAAGAGAACATTCTTTATTTTCCAAATGTTTAACTGACCTTCTGTGGTCAAACTCAGCTCCTGCTTGAGACATTTTCTGACAGTCATTTTTTGTAACTAATTCTTTTCTGTCTGATATGATTGATGAGGATATTTTGGTATGAGGTCATACATCCTTCATAAAAATGGTATTGAGTGAGGTTTCTTTTTCATCGATATTATACATTTTGTCTAAAATTTTCCCTAGCTGGCAGGTGAAGCACCAGTTAGTTTCATACACCCCAAGGATATACTCAGTGACAATATTCTCATTTCCAAATCCAGTGTTACCACTAGGGTTTAAACAATAGGAAAGATACTGGTTTTAAGTATTTTATGATAGCAAGAATTCTGCAGCTCCAATCTACTGCTACTGTCAGTATTAAATGACAAAATTGATAGTATTTACCAAAAAAAATTGGTCTTTACTATATTTTCAATTTTCCATCTATGATTTTATTGCTGGCTATACCATAAAGTTAAAATTATATATTTAACATATTTTAAAATTTATTCTTAATATACTAATAATGGGAAATTATCTCCAAATTATTTAATTCCTGCAATGATAAAATAAAAAATATAACTTTTAGTTATATTTTTCATTCCCTTCATTGATTGGTTACATCATAGTTTACATTTGCATGTGCACTAGTTCATTTCATTTTTGAATATTTTTGTTAGAAAAGTCTTCTTTACTCTGAATTTTAAAGATATGTCACTGCTATTTTCAACTCTTGGCTCATGTTCTTTTCTTTAAAAGTAGCATGTTTTACTCTTTCAGATATCTGGAAACCAGAGTATGGTTCTAAGTTCCATTCAACTTCTTTCTCAAACATTCCTACTTACTACAACCATCTTAGAGAGATGGTATCATGGTTGTTAATGAAAATATTTTTCATAACCACTTATCAAATAGGACTACTTATCAAATGTTTTGTGCCAATTACTATGTTGAGCACTTTACATGCATCATCTCATTTAATCATTCATTTGAAAAGTATTGAGTGTCTCCCATGTGTTACACTGCTTATGTAATCAATGAATGAAACAGACAATAATTATTACTTTTATGGAGCTTGCAGGTAGGAGGTAACAAATGCTATGAAAAAATACATCCAAGAAAAATCTGCATGATGTTTCATTTTATAGAAAAAGATTCTAAATCTCAATAAATATTAAATAATAGTGCTATGGAACAGAAAAGCAAAATTTAATAGTCGTAAGAAAAAAGTTAGAACATCTACCCTCTTTCACTGTACAAATGAGAAGACTTAAACCCTCAAAATTCGGATGGCATACCTAGTCACATAATTTAAATTCCATGCCTCATAACCAAGTGATTTTCTTTTTTTTTGACATGTGAATTTTATTTTATTTTATTTGCTTTTATACATGTACTTTGTGGGTTTTTTTTTTTGCATTACAATTCTTAATACACATATATACCACAATTTTTGCATCTCTGTTTGTATATAAAGTATGCCCCTGTGATTTTCTTTACTACTGGTCTCCTGTAGAATAGAACATGTCAGGAGTTATAATTTGATAGCAAATTCCTGGTTCCATATTAGCCCCTGGGTCTTTGAAGTAGCAATCCTAGATAACTTTAATTTAAGTAAGTATTTTAATATCAAACTTCCCTTCAAAAAATTGTCATTTTACTCTGTAACTCCTCTTAGTTCTTTAAGGTCATTTTGTTTACATATATTCTCCCAGTATCTCTTGTTACCCCTTTTCTCTCCCAACTCTTGTATGAATGGTTCTGATGAACCATTTGAATTCTGAATCAATGGTATAATAAAAAAGGCCACTTCAGACTTCTCTAGAAGTTTCCATATTCTATTGATGTAGTTACTTATAAATTTCTCCAGCTGCCTTGGATCAGCCATGTTTAATAAGTCATTCAGCTAAAGTATTTGGTAGGACTAAGACAACTCTGCTGCTAAGACAACTTCATCCATCATCACATCCAACCATCTGTGCTCCACATCAATAGAACATTAGAGTGATGTGGACCTGGACACTGGGTCTTCCCATTTAAGGTCTGGGTATTCTGTCGTCTCATTACCAATAAAAATGCCTTATTCAGGTCCCTGAATGGTCTTGTTAAACAATTTGGCCCTTAAAGCAGGATGAGATCAATAATCTGAAAGAATACACTGCCGTCATTCTAGACATGGGAAAATATCATGTGAGATACATTGTTTATAATTTATGCTTGTTTCCAAGCATGAACTTGGAACTTATTAATTTAACCATTAAAAGGTAGGTTTGTTTGTCTATGGTTAACTACAATATAAGTCTGAATTAAGAGTCTCTGTTGTCAATAAGATTATTACCAAGCCACAAAAGGAAATGTACTTAAATTTCAAAAGTTTTCTGGAATTTAGAGTAAAATCTCAATATTTTTCAAAATAGGAAAAATTAAGAGTTTACACTAATAGATATTTTACCTATGGAGTTAGAAATAATTGTTCTGTTAAAACTGTCATGGAAGTTATTGTCCAGAAGTAGATATTATTATTTATCCTTGAACCACTAGAATATCTATCTATTCTAAATTAAACCATTTGAAAACAAGTATAGTTGAAAACAAAATAGTCTGCTAGACTATTCAGTGTCATGAAAATGCAGGGTGGGAAAAATTATTTTCATTAAGTTTCAAGTGGGGTGATGGAGAAGGCGGTCAGAAGGGAATGACAGAGACAGACAATGTCTCATTTAATGCTTTGAAGTGTTGGACATGTCAAACTTAAATGCCCTATTTCATAGGGGAGGAAACAGAGATACAAAGAGATTAAGTGAGTAGATAAGATTAATATTGCACTCACCCATTTAAACAATCACCAAGAAGCCTTTTAGCTGCATAAACATTTCAATACTATGATCAGCTCAGTTTCATTTTTGGGTTATTTCATTATCCTTTTAAATTAAAGACACTAGTAAAATGCTTTGATAATTTTGGATATGTTCATGATAATTTTATAATACAAAAAGCCAACTATATCCCAATTGGAGTAGATTTTGTTTATCTGCTCATCTACATTTATGGTAAGGAGAATGTATTAATCATATAATGTTCAGTGTCTGAGTAGCTGGTTACTTTTAGAAGCATCTGCCTCAGACCACATGCAAAGCTCTCTAAACAATGAAGTTGAGTCCAGAGAATATGAGGAGTTTGTGTAAAAGAAGTTTAAAGAAGAGAGTGGGACACCATATTGGTATTTTGATATTTATTATTTTGTTAGCAAAGACTTTTTGTAGGAATGTGAATATGATAAATACAATTTTCCAAAATATAATGGTAGAACATAAAATATGAACTAGAAGAGGTAAGGTGGATGCAGGGGAACCAGTGTGCCAACATAAATGGAACTCCTGTAGACTAAGGATGGTGAAAAGGTGGAAATCTAAGACTTATTTACTGAGTAGAAAATACATGGGAGCTGACAATGCGTTGGATATTGTGAGAGAGTGTGGAAAGTATGTCCAGAATGATGCCTATGGTTTTGTGTTATGTAAAATGCGAATGATAGCTATTTTATGGAGAAGAAGGTCATTGAAAAAGAATCAAGTAAAAACTGGAGGGCA